TCTCTCTCTCTCTCTCTCTCTCTCTCTCTCTCTCTCCCCCTGCCAACTTTCTGCAAAGCTTTATTCCAGAGGGGCTCAGTCCTTCTCGGCAGCTGCCTTCCTCATGGCGGCCAGCATGTTGCTCAGCTCCTCTCGCTTCCTCTTGGCTCGGATGTGTGTCCCCACCCTTTTCTTGGTGAACTTGAGGGCGTGCTTGTCCTTGGAGACCCTGAGCAGCTCCATGGCATGCCGCTCCTAGGGGCGAAGCTGCACACCTCCAGATCATGTCCCGCACGAACTCAGTGTGTTTGGTGAGACGTCCGTGACTGGGGCTGTGCCTGGGTGTGCTCACATTCTTAGTCACCCCCTTGTTGAGGCCCACGGCCATGGGATAGCAGGGGGCCATGGCTACTCTTCTTCGATGGTTGCTGTGGTAGAAGGCCCAAATCTCCATTTCTAACCACATCCCTCTCTCAAGTCTCCTGTCACGTATTAGCTGATTTCCAGGCTGCTTCTCACTCCCAGCGGGCAGGCTCGTGGGCTCAGGGACGTCCTTCTCTGACACTCTTCTCTTTGTTCACATTTGCTTAGTTGTTGCTGCAACCACACCACCACCAGCCGGGCAGAAACTGGAGGCCGCACCAGCTGCCTCATCACACCCTCTTCATCTCGCTAATCTAGTACTTCTGTCTTAATCCAGGCTGCCACAATTTCTTACGTAGACTGCTTCACTAGTTTTCAAACAGGGCTGCTTTTTAGGATCTTTTACCCTACAAATGTCTTATTGCTGTTGTGGTTAATTCTTTGCTGAAACCGCCACCAGCCTCCTGTGCCACTTAGGCCACTGGCATAGGTTCTGTATGGGAGAAGGGGGATCAGGTCTCTCGGGGGCTCTCTGGGTTCTCCTCTCATTATTCTCCATATCAGACACTATGGTCTAGTAATAGAGCAAATGTCTCTTTTTTGGAACCATCTCTGAAGACCATTGTTAAGTCTCAAATCAATTATGAATAGTAACTGACTGGTGAGCTTAGTAGAAATAACTGTAACACAGTCCTCTGTTTTTTTTTTTTTTTTTTTGACCCTACCTTTTCTTCTTTACAACATTTAACAAGAATTAACTTTTGGAAAGAACTCAGTTCTGAGATCCAAGAGTCCTGCTGTGCAGTCCCCTTCTCCTGTGTCGTGGCATGCTCTTCGTGTTTCGAATGAGGGTAGCCCTCCCATACTGGTGGATTAATAGAGGTTTCGAAAGAGCCTGGAAACACAAGTTAAAGATTCCTTAATTTGAATATTTTGACTTTGAAATTAAATAAATATATTTTGGTCATGTAAAAAAGAACTCTAGGGGCTGGAGAGATGGCTCAGTGGTCTAAAGCACCTACTTGAAACAAGCTTGGCAAAGCACAGGGACTGCGGTTCGATCCCCAGAACCACATGCCAGCCAGACCC